AAGATTCTTGCAGCAGCACTCATGTCCGAAGCAAAATTTGACGGTGCAGACATGTCAGAAGTTGTGATGTCGAAGGCTTATGCTGCAGGAGCTAGCTTCAAGGGTAAGATTGCATATCATCCTTGACATCAAATTACAAGATGATGATATGGAATGAAAGAAATCAATGGTTTTCTTTTTGCAGGTACAGATTTCTCAAATGCAGTTCTAGACCGAGTTAACTTTGAGAAAGCTAATCTGCAAGGAGCTTTGTTTAAGAACACTGTGTTATCAGGCTCCACCTTTAATGAAGCAAAACTTGACGGTGCAGTGTTTGAGGATACCATTATCGGATACATTGATCTTCAGAAACTCTGTAGAAATACGTCTCTCAATGAGGAAGGAAGAGCAACTCTGGGGTGTCGATGACCATTTTCCCTACTGTTTTACTTGCTAATTCAAGGTTCATCTGTTGTATAAGAAGCAACCACGGTGCTTAATGCATTTTCATTCTGTATTTCAAGTTTATTTGTAGGCATTTTTTATGTATAGCCTACCCTGCATCTGTGCATCCTTCCGAAGACAATTTTGTTGGTCTCCTTCTGCAGAGCATAGTGTTTTTCTTTCTTTGTTATGTCTCTCAGAGTTTGAAATATAAGTTTTTGCTTCTGTCAAGTGGTCTAGGTAGGTAGCTTTCGAAAGAAAAAAAGTGAAAAAAAAGCTCTTGTTAGTTAGAGTAATTTTCTCATGAAGTTGCATGAATCTCAGATAGAAAAATAAAGGGAGATCGTGGTGGGTAGCTAGCTAGAACACAATTCACATGTGCCAGCCAGCAGCCACATACCATAATATCAGATGCTACTGCCTCACTTGAAACTCACCAACCCACTCTAAAAGTAGAGTAAAGAATTCTAGCACTTGATGAGAAACTATTGAACGACGTGACCCTGCATTTGCCAGAAAGGTCAAGTTAGCTGAGGCACAGAAGACAGCACTTGCAATTTCCAATTGAAAAACAAGTTTGACGGTCACGAAAACGCCATAGGGGGGGCTGACTTCATTCCTGGAAACTCGCAAAGTACAAAACCCCTAAAACTTTGACTAGAAAGTAGAACAAGAAAGGCATATATAGCTCGATCGTGATACTGTTTTCAGATTTGTTTTCTCTGAAGAGGGTCTCGGGTTTTCCCTTTTTTCTATTCACCTTCTTCGTGGAAACCACCATAATTGTTTTTGATGTGTGCCTTTTGTTTTTCAAAATTTTTGACTTGAAAATAATGACAAGAATAAATGAATGATGGCATGAATGATGGCGATTGATACCATCCCTTCAAATAGTAGGTGCTCAACAATTCATCGGGTAGATTAGATTGATGTGTTGAATTATAATATACGTGTAATAAAAGACTTGTAGTTCAAATGATTAATAATAGTTACCTATACATGTACATTCGAATATACATGTGTGTCATTATTTATTTACTTATTTAGGTAAATGAAATTGTTGCAATAATAAGTTAAGGTGGTTGGCGTTTGGATGGGAGAAGTACTTGAATTAGCTACCATGGAGATGTAGATATACAAGTGAAGTAACCAACCATTCCAAAAACTGCCACCTACAATTCCTAGCTGATGATGCTGCATCATGCAATAGCAATAGCAGCACCCTTTCTTCTGCTCTGAACGCACTGTCAAAATCAAACCAAACCGACAAACCACATACCCCAAACAAGCTCCCACCGCCTTTTCTCCCTTCCTTTGGATGATCATATATTCCATATTATATGCCATTGCCAACCAACAAACTTCCATGAACCAAATTATAAGTTAAATTCATTTGTCTCATATGACGACAACCAACCACAAGTGAACAAGGGCTCTACAGAGATGACCAATAGGGGTAGCTCTCTCTAGCCCTGGGATCTGAATAATTCATAGTCAACATATTTCAATCACACGCACAAGTAGTAGAGTTACCGTGCTTTCACCCCCACCAGATCACATCACTGGCGTATGAGAGTTATATATAACCCCTCCCTCTATATAGCACAGCCCTACATTGCAGGGCTATTACAAGAAAGAACCATATGCTTGCCTGCTTGCTTGCCTGCTTGCTTGCCATCAGTTCTCTCTTTCTCACTCTGAGAGAGAGAGAGAGAGAGAGAGAGAGAGAGAGAGAAGTTTGGGATGATTATTAAATAATCCTCTTTGTAATGTTTCTTGCTCAAATGAGTATTCCAAGCCACAGTTGCATGCAGTTTGCAAGCACTGGTGCTTCTGCAATTCTGAGATGCTCATTTCAGCAAGCAGCGTTACAAGAGGAAGATTTTTGCACCAAAAAGGCCTTCTGCTAGCTGCCTGATATATATCATCACCCTTATACAGATAAGTACTACTGCTTATAATTATTCCACTTTCTCCATCATCTTCTTGCTGCTTAAATGTAGCGAATATATATCACTTCAATTCATTTGCTCACATCACATCAATTAGCTAATAGTTTTCCCCTTTTTTCATTTCAAATTTGGATACATGTTAATTAACACAAGAAATTAATGAAGCATCAATTAATTTGCTCACATCACATCAATTAGCTAAAAGTTTTTCCGTCTTTTCATTTCAAATTTGGATACATGTTAATTAACACAAGAAATTAATGAAGCGTCAATTAATTATCGGATCATAAACCATATATATAAATCATATCAATTATAATCTTGCCCGGCCGCCATAATCATATACCAAATTACAAATATATACATGTGCTAGCTATGATATGCATCATGACGATGGAGAGAGAGAGAGAGAGAGAGAGAGAGATCATTGGTTTGGTGCCGGATTTTGAAGTGCCATAACTAATTATTACCATTCATTTTATGTTTCATTACTAGCCGTAGTTTTGTCTTGTTCAGGCTAAAGCTAGCACTGGAGCTGGAGGGAAATTAAGAAAGAAAAGGACTGATGATCGATGTGCGCACTGCCAGGAGCTACCTCTCTACTCGCTAATGATCGAATTGAATGCATATGTATTGTATTGATCCAAGTTTTTGACCATCTCGTTTCACCAAAGCAAACCCTATCTCTGCTCATTTATCAGATTCTGCGTATATAAGTGATCTCTCTATTATATATATACATGGACATGCTAGCTGCATTTACATGGAGGGTTTTGATAGTAAGGATGCACTTATTTTCTTTAAAATAAAGACATCCTATTTCTTGATTGTAATTCAATAATCGGAACCGTTCAGTTTTTAGGTTATTTTTCAAGGATTATTCATGCAAAAGTCAGCTAAAATATAAACGGCTCTAATCATTAAAATACTTTGTTGGATAGTCTAACAATATATATGCTTAAATAGCTACCTCAGTAACAGACAAACAAGATTTCTATGCTATGCCATTGCCAGCCGAGTTAGCTTAATTCATTTTTCCCCTTAATTGTGATTGCAAAGGAAAAAAGTTGTGTGCTACTTTAATTAGTTATTGGTAATCCCCCCAAATTACAATTTAATTTGGAGTAGCTCAAGGATGAAGATCGATATGTATGTTGAACTCGTTCAAGTGATTCGCCAAATCTATTAATCCAACTTCTCTCTCTTAATTTGGAGTTCACTCTACCGAGGTGTTTGTTATATGTATAACAATAAAACTTTGTTGAAAAGGTTAGTAGCGGGCCTTTAAAATGTCATCCTGCAATTCCTTATCCATCATGGCAAGTAAAGATATAATTAGCATCGACTCATATACATATAAAAAGCAAGCCAGATTATTTAGCTTTAGCAACTAGCATAATCTTCAATTACTGATATAAATCCCTTGCTTATTACTTTTATAACAGCATATATTCAGAGCTTTTATCACTTTCTTTTATTGTTAATACTAAGTTCTAACAAAAAGAGTAAAGATAAAACGAGGAAAAGAAATTATGGAACAGAATCAAAGATATCCACAGGAAAAGGTAAAGCTCTGTCTGTCAAGACATGCACAGACACTTAACCCTTGGCAGCAAGATATCATACTCCCTAAGCAAAGAATCCAAAACTTACTTCTTCAAGAATGGTACCCTAACCTTGCATCACCATTCACACTCTTCTTACTCATGGCAAATTCTCTTCCCAATTTTGCATCATCTGGATGCTGTGTTTTGCTCCTCCTTGTCTCAATCTTCATTCAAGGTATTAATATTGCAAATTCAATTTATCTATATATATATATATATATATATATATGTTATATACCAAAAATGGAAAATGGATTTACTTTAATTTCTTTTAAAATTTGTGCTAGGAGGAGTGCAAGGATCTATTGGGGTGAACTATGGCACTGTGGCAAATGACCTCCCTCCACCAACCCACGTCGCCCATTTCCTTTTAGAATCCACCATTATCAACCGTGTTAGGCTTTTTGATGCAAACCCTGATATACTACAAGCCTTTGCTCACACTGGCATTGCAGTCACAATCACTGTCCCAAATGACCAAATCCCCCACCTTACCAAGCTTAGCTTTGCCCAACAATGGCTCAAATCCAATGTCCAACCTTACGTCCAAGCCACCAACATAGTCCGCATCTTAATAGGCAATGAAGTTTTGTCCACCACAAACAAGTTGTTCATTGCAGGCCTTGTTCCTGCCATGCAAACCCTCCACGCCGCCCTTGTCGATGCTTCGTTGGACCGCAAGATTAAAGTATCTACCCCACACTCTCTAGGCATTCTTTCAAGTTCAAGCCCACCGTCCTCTGGCAAATTTAGGCAAGGCTATGACGTCCATGTGCTTAAGCCGTTGCTTAGTTTCTTGAAAGCCACCAATTCTCCTTTCATGGTGAACCCCTATCCTTATTTCGGATTCTCTGCGGACACACTTGATTACGCACTTTTCAGGCCAAATTCCGGCGTCTTTGATGACAAAACTAAACTCCTTTACACCAACATGTTGGATGCACAATTAGATGCTGTTTTTTCAGCCATGAAGCTTTTGGGCTTTGTGGACCTTGAGATTGCTATAGCTGAAACGGGCTGGCCATCAGAGTGTGATCCGGCCCAAGTTGGTGTTGACCCACAGAGTGCAGCGGATTACAATGGAAATCTCATTCGTCATGTGACTTCCGGTAATGGCACCCCGTTGATGCCGAATCGGACTTTTGAGACGTACATCTTCGCCCTCTTCAATGAAAATCTCAAGCCCGGCCCAACATGCGAGAAGAATTTTGGGCTTTTCCGGCCCGACATGACACCGGTTTACAATGTCGGGATCCTCCGGCACACGGTAGCTGCTGCAGTTGAAAACCACCCTAAAAAATTCCCCTTCTTGATATCATCTTTATGTATGTGCTTGATTGGTTTGTGGGCTTCACTTTGACAGGCTAGTTCGTCTACACCTTTGAACCCAAGCCCAGGATCAGGCCCAGTTCCAGCTCTTGCACCAGCGAGCCCATCACCGCCACATGGCGAGAAACTATGGTGTCTCCCCAGGAGGGGAGCTGACGCGGAGGCCTTGCAGAGGAATATTGATTATGTTTGTGGGCTGGGATTGAATTGTGGGCCAATCAAACAAGGTGGGCCGTGCTTTATGCCCAACACAGTTCGAGCCCATGCAGCATATGCCATGAACCGCTACTTTCAAGCAATGGGAAGGAACGGTTACGATTGTGAGTTTGAAGGAACTGGAGCCACCACTGCCGTCGATCCAAGTAAAATGTTTAATGCAAATAACTTTTAGTTTGGTTTTATTATAGTAATAATTAATAATTATTTTTTTAATGACAGGCTATGGAAAGTGCAAGTACTGACGAATGACGATGGAAAGAAATGCAATGGAGGATGGATGGGACCCATGAATTATAAACACTTCCCTACCAATGCTTTCTTTTTGGCCATAGAGATCAACGTAGGGGATTAGTTTAGTGGCTCATGTTTACTACGATGTAATATCACAATATTAGTAATTATAATTGTTATTTGTAGTCTGAATTTACGCGATGAATTAAGAAAAATATGTTATTTCAAATTCACTTTATATAATAGTAGAAAATAATGTTTATACTTTTTTTGGTTTACATTGCTAGATGTTTATTATTTTCGGTTGACAGAAAAGAAGAAGAAGAGTAAATTGAAAACTAAAATTAAAATTTAATTTGATCACGGAGCTAGCTTGCACTTGTCCGCGGAGCACCCGATTGTTTCCCCCTTGTAACGACCACCAACACAGCAAGCCCCCTTCCCTCATTGCCATTTATGCGGTGCGCTCTGTTTCCCGGAGCGCAAAACGCCATCTATCTGAAAAATCTTCATCAGTCTTCTTATTTCTCTCTTTCTGTGGTTCCTCAATTTTTAGGGTTTTTGGGCGTTAGTTCAATCCATTGAGAGACTTCTAGGGTTAGGGTTTATAACTCACCGTACCGAAGAAACAATGGGCGAGTGGCAACAGCTCCTCCAGTCGATATTCCTAGGCCTCATTTTCTCTTACCTTCTCGCCAAGCTCATCGCCATAGTCATCTCCTTCAAAGAAGACAATCTCAGCATCACTCGCGCGCACACTACTCCCACCGACATCAATCTACCCCGACCCAAACCCCAACCCCATGACGATCCCCCTCGCTCAGCCGATTTGACCTCCGCAGCAATCGAGGCCGAATCGGTCGTCGCAGAGCATGGCAGTGTCAGGAACGAGAGCAGCGAAGCTGGAAGTGACGATGACTGGGAAGGCGTGGAGAGTACAGAATTGGACGAACTGTTCAGCGCAGCGACAGCGTTTGTTGCATCAGCCGCGACGGATCGCCAGAAGGTATCGAACGATGCGCAGTTGCAGCTCTATGGGCTTTACAAGATTGCTACTGAGGGTCCCTGTAGCGTGCCGCAGCCATCGGCTCTGAAAATGACAGCTCGGGCCAAGTGGTATTTGCTTCACCATTGCTCCTTTTGGCAATTTAATTGCATAATTTTATGCTTTATTTGTTTAGATTTTAATGTCTGCGTGATAATGATGGGTGATGTGTTCCATGGATCGGTTTTATTTAAGTCAAGTTTACGTTAATGAAAATTTTTGTTTTTCGAAGAACTAAGCCCTAATTCTAATGTTTTTCACTGGGTAATTGATAATTTAGGGTTGGTTGAACTGTGTAGTTTAGTCCACAGGTTTACTCGCTGAGTGTTTGAATTCTTTTCACTGGGTAATTTCTGCTAGGCAAGCATGGCAGAAATTGGGTGCTATGCCTCCTGAAGATGCCATGGAGAAGTACATTGATATTGTTACGGAGCTATATCCTACTTGGGCAGCAGGTTTGACTGTGGTGAGTCTTGATCCTTTTGTTTTCCACTGTATTTTAGTACTGCTGTACATCTACTCACTTTCTGTTTCGTTTTCTTTGCTGGCCTCTTTCCTATCTCTCGACATATGATGACTAGAAGAGCAGAGGCGGAGATGGTAATGCACCTGGTACAGATTCTAACGGACCAATGGGGCCAGTTTTCAGCACCTTTGTTTACGAGGAGGAATCTGAAAATGATTCGTAAGTTTCTTAGGACCAGTTTCATGTTTGCAATTACCGCTCATTAGGTGATAATAATTCTTGCAAAAACATTGCTAAGGAGTACTTGTTTTACTTTTCAGCAAGATGGATGCCATTCATGCCTTTGCCAGAGAAGGAGAAGTGGATAATATGCTTAAATGCATTGAAAGCGGTGTTTCAGTAGATCTGAAGGGTTTGTTTCCTTCAGTAGATCTTAATTAGCTTCATTTAATTTCCAACTGATTGTGAATTTCTGTATTCCATGAGTATTTCTATAACTACAAAAACATGGATATTTTCTTTCTTTTTGGGTGGTTTACAGACTAAGGCTGCTCATAAAAAGCTCAGGCTCTGCTTTATTAGAAGCTCGTTTCCTTTTTAAATCTCAGCTCTTCGGATGCTCATTTCCTTGTCAAATTAATGAGCTACAATTTGAGCTTAATATCAAAGCTTGGTTGTTTAGAACAAAGCTTGATCAACACTGGATTGTACTCTTTAGGTTTGTGAGCAAGTTAGGTAGGTCAGTAGGTTCATGCTATTGTCAACATGCTTCAGTAATAAACTTTGAGAAAATGTAGGATAAAATAAAATCACTAAGGCATGAGTAGAATGAAGGTTGGAATTATGCATTTCAACGCCAAAAGTGTAATGTTTGATTGAACTGACTGGCTAGTTCAGTCAGCTAGAGAATAGACTCAATTTCACTCAAACATGTTACATAACAAAACTTAAAAAGACCAGGCTGGAAGCTAGATTGACCTATGGCACACCAAGTTCAACTTACTTCATACTGAGCTGGGTGCAGAACTCTCTCTCTCTCTCTCTCGCTCTCTCTCTCTCTCTCTCTCAATACATGTGCATGGCTTAGTAGTTTCTTCCTTTTTGTCAGTCATGTATTTTCTTTTCAACCAATGAGATATTCTGACATTATTAATTTTCTATATAGGGTTTTGCTAAAACTTGCATAATTTTCAATGAAATTGGTTAATATAGCTACAAAAGCTAAAAGTTCAGAGACTTCAGTTTCTTATGTCTATCCTGATTTGTGAAGCTTTTAATGTACAATTGACAAAAGTGTTCCATTTATTTATATTGGTCACCCCTTTATAGTAGGATGTTGAAGGGAAATTTTCTTGGTAGTATGGTGTTGATATCGCCTTAAAACAGTTTACATGCAATGATTGCAGATGGTGAGGGAAGGACCCCATTGCATTGGGCTGTGGATCGTGGGCACCTGAACATGGCAGAGCTACTTGTTAGCAAAAATGCCAATGTTAATGCGAAGGTAAGGTTAAAATGTAAACATTTATTTTAGGTAGGAAAAAATGTTTTCCCAGGGCCATGCCCTGATGATGCCCATTTTAAAATTCTGTTATTTTGGTGTTGGAAGGACAACGATGGCCAAACCGCACTGCATTATGCTGTTATGTGTGATAGAGAAGGCGTTGCTGAATATCTTGTGAAGCAAAATGCAGACACAGGTGCAAAAGACAATGATGGCAGCTCTCCGTGTGATCTCTGCGAGTCAAACTGGCCTTGGTTGCAGCGTGCAAAGGAGTAGAGTCACACTGACTGATGGTTTACTTACTTTGTGGTTTGTTCAAGCTGTAGTAATTTTTGAGAAATTCCTTGTGGATGATGTATATTGGTGATGTATAACCCCAAACCTTTTTGAATCTTTTGTCTTTGGAAAGATTTTCAAGTAGGGCAGTATGTGTATGTAGTTTTCTACCTTGTCCTTGTGTAGCCTTCTTTTTTTGGATTATTCAATTTCCCCAATCGTGGAAGTGAAAAGAAAGGTGGAATTCACTGGGTGTAACTTTTACACTGTTTGCATATCAAATCAATCCCTACCCTTTTCGGGGTCACCGTATCGATGCCTACTTTTTGCCATTGTATTAGCAATTTAATATTTTGATAGTTGCCGTTCCTAAATGCTGCAATCCCTTCTTTGTTTACCTTTTTATTTCTTTATTTTAATAATAATTTATCTTTAACTTTTCTTTGGTAATCTTGTTCTCTTTAATTAAAATCACAGAAACGAATATATAACTAATCATATTAGTTTTTTTACTTATAAATATTAGAAAGACAATTATTTTCTCTGGATCAGCGGCCATGAGTGGTGTGAATAATATCCATCCATTCATAACAATTTTATCAGTTTCCTTTAACTACAACATGAAAATTGTAAATATCGGAAAACACCTGCCTGCCTGCTATTGCCTATTAAGATTGCTAATTTGGTACACCCCAAGATGTCCCCCAAATCTTCTCTAATAAAGCAAAGGCTATATCCTATATGTGCCTCCCACTTCTAACGATCACTAACCCTTTCTGCCACCACCCAATATTCAGTTGGTCGTTGGCTTATCATCACCACCTTGTCCCATGCCCTGGCTTCTTTGATGCCAAACAATGGCGAAGGCAGTGGTCTATGCGCTGCTTGCCACCGCCTTTATCCTTGTCATGGTCTTCTGTCCCTCCAAACAACATGGCCACCACGATCATCTTGGCCTAAACCGGCGTCTTGGCTTCGGAGATCATGTCCCGGTTTTCGACCCTCTTGTTGCCAATATGGAGCGATATGCGGAGGAAAATGGATTAGGAGGCCAAACTCATAACCTGGATTTGGTGGAACACAGTCCCATGATGGATACCAGTGAGGTTGAAGAAGTACATGAATATTTGAGCGACGAGGGAAAGTTGAACCTCACGTTGAGGCTGCTCAGTTTGTTCCCTTTGATAGACCAGGCACCAAAAGATAGCTACATTAGCTCCAATGAGCTCAAGCACTGGCTCACACAACAGGCCGTGGTAAGGTTGAATAACAGAACCCAAAAAGAAATGGAATCATACGATAAAGATGGGGATGGAACCATTTCTTTCAGCGAGTATCAGCCCAAGTTTTCCAGTCAGGATCTCGGTACGTAACCCTTTTATTTATTTAACTACTTGGATGGACGTTGATGTTATGTGGCTGTGAAACAGAGAAAAATGGAATGGAGCATGGAGAAGCTGGATGGTGGAAGCAGCAATTTGATAATGCAGATGCTGATAAGAATGGAACTCTTACCTTCAATGAATTTAAAGAGTAACTTCTCTTCATTTTTCCATATCACCAAGGCCAACACCTTTTTTTTTGAAAATTTTGGTTGATTTACCATTCCTTTTACATAAATCTCTATTCCTGTTGCAGTTTGTTGCACCCAGAAGACAGTAATAACAGCGAAATTCATAAATGGCTGTTGGCAGAAAAAATGAAGTACATGCTCACATGTCTTCTCTGTTTTACATACTTCACATATAATTCATGCTTCATTTTTTCTTTTCCTGAATAGTTTGTTGCAATGCAAGGCTATAGATTAACAAAATGTCTGTCTGTAATGCGCAGACGGATGGACCAGGATAACGACGGAAAACTAAATTTCATGGAATTTTCACACAACGCTTATGATAGTTT